CAAAATTTACCATGTCATTCATCTTTACATGTACAGTTCACTGGTATTAAGTAGATTCATACTGTTGTGCAACCATCAAAACCATCAATCTCCAGAATTCTTTTCATCTTGCAAAACTGAAAATTTCATAGCCATTCTACAAGAACTCCATATCCTTCCCTTCTCCAGCCTCCGGCAACCACCATTCTACTTTTTGTGTCTATGACTACTCTAGGTACCTCATATTTGTTTTTTGTGACTGGCTTATTTCACTTGGCATAATGTCCTCAAGTTTCATCCAACTTGTAGCATATGTGAGAATTTCCTTCCTTTTTAAGGGTGAATAATATTCCGTTTTCTATATATATCACTTTCCGCTTATCCATTCACCCACCAATGGACACTTGGGTTGCTTCCATGTTTTAGCTATTATGAATAATGCTGCTATGAACATAGGGTACAAATATCTCTTCCAGACTGTGTTTTCAATTCTTTGGGGTATATACCCAGAAATGGCATTGCTGAATGATATGGTAATTCTATTTTTAATTTTTTTGGGAACTACCATACTGTTTCCCATAGCAGCTGTACCGTTTTAAATTCCCGCCAACAGTGCACAAGGGTTCCAATTTCTCCATGTCCTCCCCAGCACTTGTGATTTTTCCTGTTTTTTGATAGTAGCTGTCCTATTAGGTGTGAGGAGGTATCTCACTATAGTTTTGATTTGCATTTCTCTAATGATTATTGATGTTGAGCATCTTATCACATGCTTATTGGCCATTTGTATACCTTCTTTGGAGAAATGTCTACTCAAGCTTGTTGTCCACTTTTGAATCAGATTTTTGGTGTTGTTGAATTTTAAAAGTTTTCTATATATCTAGATGTGAATCCCTTATCAGATATATGATTGGCAAATAGAGTCTCCCATTCTGTGGTTTGCCTTTGTACTCTTTTAATAGTGTCTTTTGATGCACAAATTTTAAAAATTTTCGTGAAGTCCAATTTGTCTATTTTTTTCTCTTTTGTTTCTTGTGCCTTTAGTGTCATTGGTTTTTTGAAAAGAACTTTATTAAGTAGAGGAAATCCTCTGCTAATCCTAGTTCTGAGAGGTTTTTTTTTTTTACCATAAGTAGATGTATAATTTAATCAAAATTTTCAGCAGCTTTTGAGATAATCATATAGTCTTTCTCGTTTATTCTGTTAACACAATGCATTACATTTTCATGTTAAACCACACTTGCATTCCTGGGATGAACTCCACTTGGTCATGATATGTTTATCCTTTTTATATATTTCTGGATTCTTTTTGCTAATATTTTGTTAAGGATTTTTGCATCTATGTGCATAAGGGATATTGTCTATAGTTTTCTTTTCTTGCAATGTCATCTGGTTTTGGTATCAGGATTACGCAGGCCTCATAAAATGAGTTGGGAAGTGACCCCTCCTTTTTTATTTCCTACAAGGATTGGTGTTATTGCTTCCCTAGATAGAAATTCACTAGTAAAACTATCCGGATACAAAGTTTGCTTTAGGGAAGATTTTTAATTATGAATTCAATTTGTTTAATTGATTTAGGGCTTTTCAGGTTTTCTATTTCTTCTTGAATCAGTTTTGGTAATTTGTGTTTTTCAAAGAATTTGTTCATTTCAACTAAGTTGTTCAATTTGTGAGCAGAGAACTGTTCCTAGTGGTCCCTGGTTATCATTTTAATATATGTAGGATCTGTAATGATAATCTCTCTTTCATTCCTGGTATTGGTAATTTGTATCTTTTTTTTTTTTTTCAATCTCGGTCAGTATGGTTAAAGGTTTAGCAATTTTACTGATCTTTTCAAAGAACCAGGTTTTGGTTTTATTGATTTTCTTTGTCCATATTTAATTTTATTGATTTATAATCTTATCATTATTCATTTCATCCTTCTACTTACCTTACTCTTCTTTTTCTATCTTAGAAAGATAAAGTAGAAGCTGAGATCATTGGTTTTAGATCTTTCTCGTTTAATTGAATAAGTATTTAAAGATAAAAATTTCCTTCTATGCTTATCTTTAGCTGTTTTTTACTGCAACCAACAGTAGAAGCACACAAATCCTAGGCATACAACTGAGGGAAAAAAATTTCACAAAATGATACTTTCTCTTACTGTATGCAATGCACTCTGATATGTTCTATTCTAGGGCATTGTTTAAGAAATACTGTTCATAACTAACTAAATTGCAGCATAGTCCAGACACTTTTTTTGCAATGACTTCTGTTATTTTAAGATCAGGTTGCTGTTTATGCCCTGATTACAATTTGACAGCTCCTCCTGTTTGAGGATGTCTATTAAATTGTAGAGTCACAGCCTCAAATCCTACGGCTATGGGGAATAGAATGTATTAAACTTTGTCTTAGGGTGAACCTGGAAATTTAGCTAAGATCCTTGTTTCATGTTACAATCAACATCATTTTCTATGATATCCCTGATGAGAGCTCTGAAGACATTTCAAAGATACGTTTTATCATGAGTATATAGACTTTGGTTGTATTTTAGAGTTCTATGATTAAAATATTTTACCCACAATATAGTCCTTACTTAGAGATCAGTGACATTTATCAGGATTCAAATGTTCCCAATATTTCTGTTCTCGTTAATTTTCCTAGTACCCAGTGCAGGTAAGTTACAAAAAATGACAGAAAACCTTTCAGATTTATGGATGAAGAAGTTAGAATTTTGAAAGTCAAAGTACGCCATGCCTCTCAAGAAAAAAATCTAATGGTCTCAGTGGTGCATCATTACTACAAAAATTGGGGGTGGCAATATAATTGGTTGGTTAACACTTTTGGAACATAACTTAGCAAGAGCTGTAAAAAATTTGTAAAAACAAAAACATGAAAACTGTTTTTGACATGCTAATTCCATTTTTGGAATTTCATTGTAACAAAATGATTCAAAACATGGAAAATGCTTGGAAATAAGCTTTTAAAAAGCATGAAATAAGGAATTGGAAACAACCTGAATATACCAAACTACAGTTAATAAACCATACTGCATCCTCTTAGAAATACTATGCAGTCATTAAAAATCATAAACACTGGAATTAACAAAAATGCTACCTGCTTTTTCTGTTGGGTTAGAGAAATGAGTAAATTTTTTCCTATTTTCCAAATTCTATTTAATAGCACATTAGTTCTAAAATGAAAGTCTATTTAAAATGTTGGCTGTTAGGATTATAAAATGGAAAAATACATGGTATAAAAATCACAGTAAGTGTATTTACAGTATGGTGTGATTATATTTCAAGTGTGTGTGTGCAGAGAGAACGAGAGAGAAGAAAATTAAAAGAAAAGTGCCAAAATGCTAGGAAGGGTTGTTTACTGTAGGATGATACTTGAGTATCCTTTTCTCTTTATTTTCTAGATTTTCTGTAAGGTATTTATGTTACTTTGATAATAAATGCCTTTTGGTAAGTATAGCTGGCTAACTGCCCATAAGGTCCCCTAGTTTGCCCCAGGCCTCGTCTCGGTTTGTTGCTGAGAGGCATACATGGCACTCAAATTCTGTTGTATCATGTTAGGATCCATCCAGCCCGCAGCCAGATTGGAGGCAGAGCTGCTGCAGGGATTTTTCACACTGTAGTTGAAAGAACACTGAATGGACCAAGAAGTGAGAAACACTGGTTCTATTCTCAGTGCTGCGTTTTTGTTCAGGGAAGTCATTTAACCCCATTTCCTAATTCCCAAACTAAAAGGGTCAGATTACTTGTAAGAATCTCTTAATTGCAGGTCATGTACAGAAAAGTCAGACCTGAATAGGACAAATGCAGCAAATTAACATAGACTGAAGCAAGACTCCAAGAGTTTGAGAAAGCAGGCAGGATGGTTTATGAACTCTCAACCAGGAAAATAGAGAGTAAGTCAAGAACTCAACGATGGGTAGGGACAATAATCCAGGATTTCCAAAAATTCTGGGCAAAATTTAGACAAGAAATCTGAGTGATGGCCCAGAACACTAGCAGCAGGGTTTGGACCACCCAGGGGTTCTTTCCACTCCATCAACAGAGGACCGAGCTTTGTGGTAGGATCTGACTGCACACATGGATTTTAGGAGGCTCTCCAGGCTGGAATGAGGATGTGGAGAAAAATGCAGCTCCAGGTATGCGAGTGTTTTACTTAGAAAAAACTGTGATGAAACCCAGAAGGCTCATTTAGTTCTGGGAGTCAAAGTACTTCTCAAATAGCACTGTCCAATAGAACTTTCTGAAACGATGGAAATGTTCTATAGCTGCAACGTTCAATATGGTAGCCACTGGGCACATGGGACTATTGAGTACTGGAAATATGACAAGTGCAACTGAGGAACTGAATTTTTTATTGTATTTAATGTTAATTAATTTAGTTTAAATAGCCCCATATGGCTAGTGGCTACCATACTGAGTGGCTCAACAAAGGTCCAACACAGTCCTATTGTTCTTTTTGAGTATAGTCACAAAACATGCATAATGAAAGAAGAATCTTTTTTTTAAATATGAAGAATATTACATTTTTCTTTGTAGCCTATATGTATATGTACTGTGTATGGTAACTTAATTGTTCCATAAGAAGCGAAATCAATTCTAGGAATTTTACAGGAATTCATGCCCTTTCCAGTGTAAACCTTGATTAACCACATTCTGAACTCAACCTGAAGATGCATTCACCCAAGATGAACTAGAAACCACCTTGGCCCCAAGTGACTTTCTAAACCAAGGACAAAGTGAGACACAGCAACTGCAGGGCTGAGCTGACTGCGCTTGGTTCTGCCTTCATCTTAGGCTGATGGTAGATCTGCACTTGAGTTGGAAGGGCACAGCTCTTTCAGTGGCACTGATAACAGAATCAAGTGCAGACAAGGATGTCCCTAAGTTTCCCCTAAGTGCAATAAGTGATAGAGTCCTGTATAACAGTCACATTACAGATTTCTAAATTGGACTATAGACCTAGAAATCCAGACATGTTCCAATTTATTCTTACTTTGACCCAATGAAGAAAAGTGAGAGAGAACCTAATGCCAAAACAGGTTTATTGGTTTTTGCACACAAACGAATCTGAACAACGTGCAAGTAGTCAATAAAAAAGGCTCAGTGCAAGCTGCCTTCCTTTCACCCTAAGAAAGGACACCAACTCCAGGCAAACAGGGTAGAATCAAACTTCACGTTTCTGTAACACACACACTCAGACCCTCGCTTAGTTAGGAAAACAGACAGAGATCTGCTAAAAGTTAATAGAATGAAAAGAAATTAAAACTGGGATATTGATTTCTGTAGTAATATTTGTTAGCCAAAATTCAAAAATAAAGCTAATATTTTTTTTCAGCTTTATTGAGGTCTACTTGATAAATTAAAGTTAATACTATTTTAAAAAGGAAAAAAATACTGGTAAAGTTGTCGGGTACCAATTTTGTTAAACTTATGGCTGAGAGTTTTACCAACCCCCTTCAAACCAAAAAACAGAAGAAAATTTTAAAAGTACAGATTCTTCCAGATACTGAGCCCAACATTTTTCTCTTCTTCAAATCCTCCAAACCCAAATTATGAGAAATAATTCACTCTGGCCACTGGGAACATTTCTGCACAGTGACATAATCAGAGAATTTACTTCTTCCATTATTTAACTTATTCATTCCCATCCTAATCAAATCCCAGGAATGTAGGAGTAAGCAAGGGGGCACAATTTTCCCTGAAGCCTCTGCAGGAGGCATAACTAAATTTACAAATAAATTTCCACTGAGGAAGGCCCCGATGGCAGGGGAAGTGAGCCACCTTGACGGCCTGGGGAACACATTTCAGATCTCTAGGGCAGATGTAGAGAAGGATTTATCCAGGAATCAGTCTTCTCCAAAGCTGGACAAGGAGGAAGCGTGGGAAGCACAGCTTTTCTAAGAGGAGGAAAGGTGTCACTTGGAGAGCCTCTGGTTTCCTGAGGAAGGGAAGGAGACACTGAAACATCTTGTTTTGCGCATTTTAGATCTTCCTTGTTTTTCACCGTCAGTAACTGTTCTATCTCCTCTTTCAAAGACAATCTTGTCTGAAACTTCTGTTTCGGTAGTTTAAGGTGTTCTTTTTGAGTTATTTCCTGGTCCTCCAACCCCTCTGACTCAGGGCAAATGAGTTTGTTCCTGGCATCCTCACTGGCTTCTTCCTCTAAGGGAGGCAGATGTTGAGGTTCTGTTGTAGCTTGTTTACTCTTAGATTCTTCCTTCAGCAAATTTACGTCCTTGTGAGACATAAAACTTGGAGCTTTGTCTAGCCTAGAATTTTTACAAAGTAGGAAACCTCTTACTTTTCCCTCTTTCGCTGACGTCTCTGTCACTGACTTCTTTGGAGGCAGCACAGTCCTTATTAGGAGTCCCTGTGCGTTCACCTGATATTCTTTTACAGCTCTCTCTCTGCGCTGCTTCTGGAAGTCCCTGAGTTGACGCAGTTCCTCTGGAAGCTCCATACTTGTAGGCTAAGAAAAAAAATGAACACAGGTCAACTATAACTAACCTTCTGAATATGGTCCTTAAAATCACTTCTACTAAGTATTTGGCAAGCGAGGGTCTATTCAAACGTGTTCTTTTTTTTTTTTTTTTTTTTTTTTGAGGAAGATTAGCCCTGAGCTAACTACTGCCAATCCTCTTTTTGCTGAGGAAGACTGGCCCTGAGCTAACATCCATGCCTATCTTCCTCTACTTTATATGTGGGACGCCTACCACAGCATGGCTTTTGCCAAGCAGTACCATGTCTGCACCCAGGATCCAAACCGGTGAACCCCGGGCCGCCAAGAAGTGGAATGTGTGAACTTAACCGCTGTGACACCAGGCGGGGCCCCAAATGTATTCTTATAGCACCCTCTAGTGTCTTCAACTATAGTAGTGCTATTTTTCAAGTAAATATTTTGAATCCACAGTTGTGCGTGTATGTGTGTGTAAAGATCATACAGTGAAAAGTAAGTGTCCCCTCCACCCTGGCCCCAGATGACTTACCATGTGAATCCTCTAAAGGTAGTTTCTTGTGTAGCCTCCTAAAGGTAGTCTATGCATATACAATCATATGTGTGTGTATATATATATCCCTCATTAAATGTTTATCTTTTTTATTTTTGAGGAAGATTAGCCCTGAGCTAACATTTGTCACCAATCCTCCTCCTTTTGCTGAGGAAGACTGGCCCTGAGCTAACGTTTATGTCCATCTTCCTCTACTTTGTATGTGAGATGCCTGCCACAGCATGGCTTGATAAGCGGTGTGTAGGTCCGTGCCTGGGATCCGAACCACTGAACCCTGGGCCACCAAAGTGGAGCCTGCAAACTTAACTGCTATGCCACTGGGCCAGCCCCATGTTTATCTTTTCATTAGAATACATTTTTCAATTTTTATTTTCCCCCAAATTTTTTTTTTTTTTTTTTTTTTTTTTTTTTTAAAGATTTTATTTTTTCCTTTTTCTCCCCAACGCCCCCCGGTACATAGTTGTGTATTCTTCGTTGTGGGTTCTTCTAGTTGTGGCATGTGGGATGCTGCCTCAGCGTGGTCTGATGAGCAGTGCCATGTCCCCGCCCAGGATTCGAACTAACGAAACACTGGGCCGCCAGCAGCGGAGCGCGCGAACTTAACCACTCAGCCACGGGGCCAGCCCCTCCCCCAAATTTTTATTTTGATAACTCTTTCTAAAATTATTTCATAAAAATGGTAACATACTATTGTGTATTCTTCTGTACCTTAATTTATGAAAGTATAGTTAATAATTTGGTATTCTATACTTGAAAGTTGCTGAGAGTAGATGTTAAGTATTCTCATCACACAAGAAAGAAACAGCTAAGTATGTGAAGTGATGGATGTGTTAATTATGTATATTAAATCCTTACAATGGACACTTTAAATACATGTAATTAATTTTGTCAACTATTCCTCAATAAAGTCGGGGAGGAAGAAAAGCATTCTCTACTGTGAGATAATTTTATTTTAATTCTATGTTTTTTTCTAATAATTTTATAATTTCATTTTTACATAAATATTTGATCCATAGAGCTTATTTTGGTGTAATGAAAAAGATAGCAATCCAATTCTGATTCTCCTCCCCACAATGGTTAGTCAATTGCCTAAAGCCATTTACTGAAGAGCTATCTTTTTCTCACTGATTAGAAATTCTGTCTTTATCCCAACCATGCTGGCAGATATAGATTGGATCTATTTCTGGGTTTTCTACTCTGTTCCACTGATCTGCCTACACATGTGCCAGTTGCAAACTGTTTTATTTAGTGTAGACTTATAATATGTTTTAATATCTTCCAGAACTGTTCTTATTTAAGATTATTTATCTCTAAACACACTATAATCACAGTTTGCCAAAATAATGCTCGCATTAATACTTTTCTTGGAATAGAGTTAAATTTAACAGTTAATTTAGGAATAATTGCTAGCTAAAAAACACTTAGTGTCTCTATTCATTTAAGTCCTCTTTTATGCCATTCAGTAATATTTTACCATTTTCTTCAACTCTATATTCCACATTTCCTGTTAGATTTATTTCTAGATAAACTATCTTTTTTGTTACAATTACAAATCGATGTTTTCTCCCATTATATTTTCCAGCTGTGCATATGATAAAAGAAAGCTGTTACTTTTTATGTTATATTTGTACCCACGACTTGACTGAATTGTCTTTCTGTTTGTGGTAGTCTTTTTCAGTCGATTCTCTTCGGTTTTCAGTTGTATCATAAGCAAGTCAGGAATTCGACTCCTCTCATTCAATTTTTCTAGTTCACCTTGTTGTTTTCTAATTTCATGGGCTCACAGCTTCAAAATATGCTGAAGTAGTGGTGATAGTCACCATTTTTATTTGTCTTGATATTAATGGGAATGCTTTTAGTGTTCCCAATCAAATATTATGTCATCTTCTCACTTGGGATAAATGTTTTATTGTGTTAAAGCATCTATTCCAACCTTAATCAGTAATGTACATAAAATATTATCAAAATTTTTTCAGCATTAAACAGTGAGAGCAAAATACAAAAACGTTATAAAATTGTCCTTAGTTTTACAATGTTAAATGAAAAACATTAAAATTCTCCAATCGAACAAAGTATGCAAGGATTTTCATGTTTTTTTTTCTTAACAGTGAGAGCAAAATACAAAAAAAGTTGTAAAGTAATTTTTTTCAGCATTTATGAGATAATCACAAGATTTTCTTGGCTCTGGTAAAATGGAGAATTTCCTAACTTTGAACCATCCTTGCAACTAGAATCCAGAAACACATTAAAAGAAAAGTATAATACAGCTAAGTGGGGTTTGTACCCAAAACACTATCATTTTATTTAGGATTTTGCATCAGTATTCCTAAGTGAGAATGGTTTATGGTAGCAGTCTGCAAACTTTTTATGTAAGGGGCCAAACAGTAAATATTTGAGACTTTGTGAGCTACAAACAGTCTCTGTTGTATACTCTTCTTCTTTTCTTTTTTCACAATCCTTTAAAACCATAAAACCCATTCTTTGCTTGTGAGCTGTACAAAAACAGACTGTTTTTAAGGCCAGATTTGGCCTTAGGGCAATAGTTTGCCAACTCCTGGTCTATAGTTTTCTTCTATTGTGCTGGCTTCATAAAAATAACTAATGAGGGGCCCGCCCCATGGCCTAGTGGTTAAGTTCAGCACGCTCTGCTTCGGTGGCCTGGGTTCAGTTCCTGGGCGGACGGTACACCAGTCGTTGGCGGCCATGCTCTGGCGACCCACATACAAAATAGAGGAAGATTGGCACAGATGTTGGCTCAGGGTGAATCTTCCTCAGGAAAAAATAAAACATAGAGAAATGTTGCATTTACCTTTTCTTTGACAGAAATATTTATTGGAAACATAATACTGTGAAAGGGGGCTGAAGGAGATGGATTAAGACCAAGCTATAACTCCTTCAAGAATATTACCAAGTTTGCCAAAAGAAATTTGCTGCAGCTCTGAAGAGTGGGGATTACTGTGCCCTCCCTGAGGAATGAGGCAGAAACGGAAGTCCTGAAGACACACCACAGAGAGCTCACCTACCTCCATGCCTCCGAGCCGGTCTGCAGACCCCTCCCGGTAGGCGTTCAGGTACCCGTCCACCAGGGTGGTTAGGTCGGACATCATGGCATCCAGGAGCACCAAGCGAAGGGGGAGCAAGTAGGTAGCTTCCAGGGCCAAAATCTTCAGTAAAGAGGGTGAAAGAGGTCGTGTGAACCACACTTCTGGATTTTCCTAGAGATGCCAAAACAATTTTCTCTGAATAGTAAGCGAAAATTTAAAGAAAATAACTGTTTATCTAATTGTTGCTTAACTTAAAACACTGTTACTGTCATTTTCTTCAATTATTACCTTCTACATCCATGGTACGGCTAGACTTCTAAGGACACACACACACACTTTATGTGTGTATACAGTGTGTGTATGTATGTGAGGGGGGAAGACTTGGCGGGGGCGGAGAGAGAGATTGATTAAAGGAGAGATCAGGATTTCTCATTTAAAACTGGAGGCAGCAGACTTGATTATACGGCCAAAGTTGTAGACGACATCATCATGACCTAAGTTTGCACGCAAGGCTATCAGGAGCTAAAGAAAATCTGCCGTACTTTGGGAGAAACAATTGGGATGATTTTGTTCCATTGTCTTAATCCAAATTCCCAAGAAAATCCCCCTTGGTCCCCTCTTGAAAATTTCTTTCAGGGTACTTTTTAATTGGTAACTAACAAATCTGGATCCTGGCTTTCATCCATTTGAGGCCACAAACTGTTCCCATTTGGAACAATTAAGATTTTTGGCCGTGCTCATGTGCTTACATGGCAGCTATCATTTCTCTATATAATATGCTAATAATCTGACTTACAAAACACTTGAAAAAACTGATGTCATCCGGGGCATCCTTTAATACTCACCCGAATCCGTTTTTGTCTCTCTTCCAGAAAGGAGAGATATTTCGGGGCTATTTTAAGGTGTCTGATTAAACTCTCCTGTAAAGTACTGATGCAGTTTGGAAGAAAGCCGCCTGTTTCCCTGGAGAATTGAAAGACATCTGCCACCTGTGGCATTAAAAAAAGACAGACCAGTCTGTAGAATATAGAGAGCTATCTCGTGGCAGAAATATATTTAGGAAAATGTCTTTAAATACCATTTTTCCCGAGGACCTATATGATAGACAATGCCATCAGAAAATTTAAAGTTGTTCAATCAACTTATTCCAAAAAATTAGGAAAAAAAAAAGGATCACCCAACTTTAATGTGTCCTCGTCTACTTTCTTTTCTACTTCTTTTTTTGAGGAAGATCAGCCCTGAGCTAATATCTGCCGCCAATCCTCCTCTTTTTGCTGAGGAAGACTGGCCCTGAGCTAACATCCATGCCCATCTTCCTCCACTTTATATGTGGGATGCCTGCCACAGCATGGCTTGCCAAGCGGTGCACAGGTCTGCACTCGGATCTAAACTAGTGAACCCCAGGCCGCCCAAGTGGGACATGCGAATTTAACCGCTATGCCACCAGGCCGGCCCCTCTTTTCTCCTTCTTTTATTTGCCTGCCTTATGGTTATTTATTACTTTATGGTGACTTTGGAGAATGGGGAAAGGAAGCTAATATTCAATAACTACTTTTTTTTAAAGATTTTATTTTTCCATTTTCTCCCCAAAGACCCCAAGTATATAGTTGTATATTTTTAGTTGTGGTTCCTTCTAGTTGTGGCATCTGGGATGCCGCCTCAGCATGGCTTGATGAGCGGTGCCATGTCCACCAGGATCCGAACCAGGGAAACCCTGGGCCGCCAAAGTGGAGCGCGTGAACTTAACCACTCAGCCATGGGGCCGGCCCTGCAATAACTATTTTTATTGTTTATTAGCAACTCTGGTAAAGTTTTGGTAAGGAAAGGTAATAAAATTAAGAATTGGAATAATTATTTATCTGTATGTGGTAGGCTAAATAATGGCCCCCAAAGCTGTCCCTATCCCAATCCCCGGAACCTGTGGATGTTATTTTATATGGCAAAACGGCCTTTGCAGCTGTGATTAAGTTAAAGATCTTGAGGTACGGAGATTTTCTTGAATTATCCCCATGGGCCCTAAATGTAATCACGAGTGTTCCTGTAAGATGCAGGCAGAGGGAGATTTTACTACAGTCAGAGTAGAAGGCGATGTGATGATGGGAGCAGAGATGGTGATGCACTCGGAAGATGGACGGAGCCACAAGCCAAAGAATACTGGTGACAGCTGGCAAGGCAAGGAGACAGACTCTCCCCTCAGAGCCTCCAGAAGAAACTAGCCCTCTCACACCTTGACTGTGGCCCCCCAAAAATGACTTCAGACTTCTGACCTCCAGAACTGTAAGCGAGTAAGTTGATGTTGTTTTAAGTCACTAACTCTTGTGGTAACTTGTTATAGAAGAGGAAACTAATACACTATGTTAAAGGAAAACGAATTGGAAAAATTCTGCATTCCTGCTTCTTGCACTATGGAAATCTGAAAAGAAAAATATGGAAAGATATGCTAAGTTTTCATTAGACTATACATGTGGGGTCTAATCAAGAGTCCTGATGGCCTCCAGGGAACAATGAGCATTTTGGAGCCAGCATAGAAGCAATTTCTATATCGTGAAAGATCCAGAAAGAAGGCCCAAAGGACCACGTAAACAAGAGAAGTGCATAAAGTTCATTATGAGCAGACTCCTAAAGAGCAAACTTGAACTACATATAATAATATAAAATTGAACTTTTAGGAATTTCTGTTCAAAAATATTTGGCTAGCTCATTATTTGAACCCCTCTCCAAAGGTTCCAGGCCTTTAGATATTCAAGATCTCCCTTTCACTGGTATAAACCTAGAAGACTAGAAGAACCTAGTAAAAACTAGTGATTTTACTGCTCTCACAGCCAAACCAGAAACCCAGATCAGCTCTAAGAGCTAGTATAGTTTAGGAATTTCTCATTTCTTGAGGGTCCTTTAGATCAGAGGAAAATCACATCTCTTCAGGCTGTCATTGGCAGAATAGGCTTTTTGGGCTTATCTAGGGCAACCTGCATCCCTGAGCTAGATGCCAACTAGCCACGAGCCTTAACTGAGACATATGTGGTAAAGGCAGAGAGGTGACTGTTTGCCTCACACTAAGTGTCCCATGTCAGACTTCTGAACGACCTGCAAACTCTTCGAGTTTCTGAATGCTACAGAATATGGAGCTTGTTTCTTTTCCTTTTTTTTTTTTGGAGGAAGATGCCTCACACTAAGTGTCCCATGTCAGACTTCTGAACGACCTGCAAACTTTTCGAGTTTCTGAATGCTACAGAATATGGAGCTTGTTTCTTTTCCTTTTTTTTTTTTTTGAGGAAGATTAGCCCTGAGCTAACATCAGCCACTAATCCTCCTCTTTTTGCTGAGCAGGACTGGCCCTGAGCTAACATCTGTGCCCGTCTTCCTCTACTTTCTTTGTCGGATGCCTGCCTCAGAATGGATTGATAAGCGGTGCATAGGTCCATGCCCAGGATCTGAACTGGCAGACCCCTGACTGCCAAAGCAGAGCACGTGAACTTAACTGCTGTGCCACCGGGCTAGCCCTGCTTGTTTCTTATTTGACAAATTCTGGAGCCAAATGAGGAAAAAAATCCAAAATACTTTTAAGTAACTTTTCTGCAGTGCTTTCACAGTTCACCAAATGTTCTCACATACTGTACAAACACACGAGAAGTGGGCAGGAAAGAGGCACACACACAAAGACTTTCAAGCACTCATCAGACGAGGCCCATTTCTACAGGGGCTGTGTATGCTGGAAGGAATTCAGCATTCCCCTGCATGTACCTGTGTGTCAAAGACATTATTCAGCAAAATTCCATACTGATGAGAGAGGCAATCAGAAAGCCAACGACAATCATGGATAACCTATGGAATCAGAAGACAGAGACAGAATAATTAGGACCTGGCTGCTTATCTTACTAGCAGAGGAATCAGCTTACACACTTACCTTCAAAATTCTCTTGTCTTCCAATACCATCTGAAGTCCATTGTTGAAAGCACGACTTCCCAGAAGGAAAATGTCAAATAAGTAAACTCGGCTGTTTGTGGCCACCTGCAGTAGACCATCCAGACACACATATTACAGGATGAGAAAGAACTAGGGAAGGATCAAGAAAATCATGTGGTAACATATTTAACATCCTCACTTGTGAAGCAAACAATAGGCACTCAAGGTTTCTTAGAGAAAAAAGGTTTAAACTGATCTTAAGTTAAAAAAGACACTATCACTGTGATTTTCAAAAGGAAAAAAACAGACAAGCTGGTGAGTTAGCCTTTTGCTTTTTACAGTCCCAAGCAGAATGTTTTACGTCTCATCTATGGCATTCTAACACTCCAGGGATTACAAGTTTAAGGAGAATGAGCAGCATTTCATGTTAATAACACAAAATACTATTTCTCTGAGCTCCATAATATGCATGATTGTGTTGGATGTTATAAAAAATCACTCATAAGAGAAGATTCCCTACCCTCCAGCAGTTTAAAACAGGCAACAAATACACTGGCACAAATGTTAGGATGTGAAACACTGCTTTTTAGATCACTTTTATACAATTATAAGAATTCTAGATTGTTTCTGATCATAAAAGTCACAAAGGCAGTGCAGCTGGATAATCTACTGAGTCAGAAAATGAACGCAAAAAAGGATCCAAATAGGTCTAGGGAGCCAGCCACATGGCAATCTGAGGCCATCTTTGTCATTTCAGGAGTTAACTGTTGATACAGCTGCAATTGCCAGGCCTGTCTGGCACCCATTCTCGGACTTTCATGTTGTTTGCTAGAATTTGACACCTAAATGGTCAATCCCTTCTCTTTTTCCCTACCTCCTTTTTTTTTTTTTTTTTGAGGAAGACTAACCCTGAGCTAACTACTGCCAATCCTCCTCTTTTTTTTTTTTTTATTTTTATTTATTTTTTTTATTTTTATTTTTTCCTTTTTCTCCCCAAAGCCCCCCAGTACATAGTTGTCTATTCTTCGTTGTGGGTCCTTCTGGTTGTGGCATGTGGGACGCTGCCTCAGCGTGGTCTGACGAGCAGTGCCATGTCCGCACCCAGGATTCGAACCAACGAAACACTGGGCCGCCTGCAGCGGAGCGCGCGAACTTAACCACTCGGCCACGGGGCCAGCCCCCTCTTTTTTTTTTTTTTTTTTTAAAGATTTTATTTTTTCCTTTTTTTCTCCCCAAAGCCCCCGGTACATAGTTGTATATTCTTTGTTGTGGGTCCTTCTAGTTGTGGCATGTGTGACACTGCCTCAGCGTGGTTTGATAAGCAGTGCCATGTCCGTGCCCAGGATTTGAAGCAATGAAACAGTGGGCCGCCTGCAGCGGAGTGTGCGAACTTAACCACTCGGCCACGGGGCCAGCCCCCCTCCTCTTTTTTCTGAGGAAGACTGGCCCTGAGCTAACATCATGCCCATCTTCCTCTACTTTATATGTGGGACGCCTACCACAGCATGGCTTTTACCAAGTGGTGCCATGTCCGCACCTGGGATCTGAACCGGCGAACCCTGAGCCACTGAGAAGCGGAACGTGTGAACTTAACCGCGGTGCCTCTGGGCCAGGCCCCCTACCTCCTTAATTATAAAAGTTGAATAGACACATTACAAGAGTTTGGAAAATAATTCTCTGCCACACTGTAAACTCTGCGAGAGAAAAGATTACGTCAGATTCACCATTTACAAGCAATAACTAGAACAGAGCCAGGCATATGGACACTGTTATACATTTCTTCAGTGAATCATGCATGTCATATAACAACCCCTTCCATTTTTTCGTATGCAAAAAAGGTATATGGCTCTAATAATATGCATTCAAATCTATATCCTTCTTTTTCCACTCATAAACTTTCAAACATTTTCCTATATTGCATTTGTCATCAATTTTTGGCAGCTGCATAAGATCTATCAAATGTACTGTAACGTCTCTTACTGTTAACTATTTAAGTGGTTTCTGATTTTTCAGCATTATAAATGATGCCAAGATGAATAGGTTCTCACATAATTTTTTTCTTCATATTTTTAATTATTTACAATAGATTCCTGGAAGTAGCCCTGAGAAGTGGGTCAAAGGATATTAAAAACACTTTATGACTCAACAAATGTTTGCTACCTTCATCTTAAGATATATTATTATATCTGAAAATATTTGACCACAGATGAAGATAAACATTTAAATAATTGAAAGTTAAAGAAAAACAGTGGGAAATACTGACAGAAAGGAAGCAGACTAGGGAAAACTAAACATAACAAAGAAACAAAAGAACAAAATAAAGGTTTAGGAATTAAATGTGCAGATACTAAGAAAAGTAAGGAGCTGGAAATAGGGGGATGGACTGGAAGTCTGTGTAAGGAGACAGGACTGTATATCAGGACTGTATATATTTGAATACTTTTAAAAGTTGACGTCTGAGGGTCTAGCTTCCAGTCAGCCTGAAGCTAGATGCTGAGATTCTCCCCTTTGTGACACTGACAGGTCTTGACACACCCTCAACTACTGGGAGCCATTAAAAATAAAGCAGGCTGCTTAGACAAGCACAGAGGTTTGAGAGACAACCAGGAGCGGAGGCAGGGTTGAATGACAAGGTTCCGCTCTTACATGAGGCCACTCCTTCACCAACGCAGAGAGTCAAGCAAATGAAGAAACAAGGGAATACGTTCCAAATGAAAGAACAAGATAAAACCTAAGAAAAAAGCCTTAATGAAATGGAGATAAGTAATTTACCTGATAGAGTTCAAAGTAATGGTCATAAAGATCCTCACTGAACTGGGGAGATGAATGAATGAACATAGTGAGAACTTCAACAGAGAGATGGAAAATATAAGAAAATATAAGAAGTCACTGAGCTGAAGAATACAATAACTGAACTGAAAAATACACTAGAGGGGTTCAACAGCAGACTAGATGAAGTAGAAGAAAGGATAAGTAAACTTGGAGACAAAGCAGTGGAACTCACCCAATCTGAGAAGAAAAAAGAAAAAAGAATGAAAAAAATGAAGACAGCTTAAGGGTCCCCTGGGACATCATCAAATGGATTAACATTCACATCACAGGACTCTCAGAAGGAGAATGAAATGAAAACTGTAAATGAGATAACATGTGTCAAAGTGCTTTGTAAAGTGTTACACAAATGTACTTTGTTTTAATAACCCTGTTATTAGATTCTAAAAAAAAAATAGCAGATCTCTGAAGAAGCAGGTAGAGTGAGGATTTTTGTTTCCTTATAAGCCTTTTTACCATTACAGTCATGTGCTGAATGATGTTTTGGTCAACGATAGGCCACATGTGTGATGATGGTCCCATAGATTAATACCATATAGACCAGGTGCACAGTAGGCTATATACCATCTAGGTTTAAGTGCACTCTATGATGTTTGCACAACGATGAAATGATCTAATGATGCATTTCTCAGTACGTACTCCCATCATTAAATGATGCATGACTGTGTTTGATTTTTTTTCTTTTAATAAATAGGCCATGTGATACTTTGATTAAAAAAATTTAACATATAAACCCAAAGACCTGGTTGGAGAAAATGTGCCCATTAATTTCCTTCCAGTCACAAGAGAACAATTGTAATCAACTGAATGTCCCCTCTGGTACCTAGACAACCAAACAGGACAAATTAGGAAATAACCTAGAGCTGCCCAAGGGAGCACCCTTTTGTTTTGGTAGAGAGAGGTTTTGGTTTGGTTTCTTTTCCCCTCATCTTTATTGAGATATAATTAACGTATAACATTGTGTAAGTTTAAGTTGTGATGATTTGATATAAGTATATACTACGAAATGATTACCACAGTAAGTGTTGTTAACACGTCTATCACCTCACATAGTTATCTTCTTTTTGAGGTGAGAACTTTTAAGATCAACTCTTAGAAACTTTCAAGTATTTACTACAGTATTGTTATCTATAATCACCATGTACATTAGACTCCTAGAACTTATTTATCTTATAACTGGAAGTTTGTACCTTTTGACCACCTTCACTCATTTCCTCCACCCCTCACCCCTGGCAACCAATATATTCTCTGTTTCTATGAGTTTGGTTTTTTAGATTCCACATATAACTGAGAGCATACAGTATTTGTCTTTCTCTGTCTGATTTATTTCACTTAGCATAATGCCCTCCAGGTTCATCTATGTTGTCACAAAAGGCAGGATTTCTTTCTTTTTTATGGCTGATTCCAATGTATACATTTACCACATTTTCTTTCTTTCTTTCTTTCTTTCTTTTTTTTTTTTTTTTTTGAGGAAGATTAGCCCTGAGCTAACATCTGCTGCCAATCCTCCTCTTTTTGCTGAGGAAGACTGGCCCTGAGCTAACATCCGTGCCCATCTTCCTCTACTTTATATGTGGGATGCCTACCACAGCATGGCCTGCCAAGCGGTGCCATGTCCGCACCCGGGATCCAAACCGACGAACCCTGAGCTGCTGAAGCGGAACGTGCACACTTAACTGCTGCGCCACTGAGCCAGCCCCTTACCACATTTTCTTTATCCATCCATCTATTCATGGACACTTAGGTTGTTTCTAGATCTTGGCTATTGTAAATAATGCTGTAATATTGCTGCATTGTAAATAATGTAATATTGCTGCAACATAAACCTGGGAACACAGGTGTCTCTTTGAGATCCTGTTTTCATTTCCGTTGGATATAAACCCAGAAGTAAGATTGCTGGACCATATGGTAGTTCCATTTTTAATTTTTTGAGCAACCTCCATACTGTTTTCCATAGTGGCTGCACCAATTTACTTTCCCACAAACAGTGCACAAGGGTTGTTCCCTTTTCTCCACATCTTGGCTATTACTTATCCCTTGTCTTTTTGATAAGAGCCATTCTAACAGGTGTGAGATGACATCTCATTGTGGTTTTGATTTGCATTTCCCTGATGATTAGCGATGTTGAACATCTTTTCATATACCTGTTGGCATTTTGTGTATCTTCTTTGGATATACAAAGATTTATATATTCTGGTCCTTTGCCCATTTTTAAATTGGATTATTTATTTTTTTTTTATTTGCTATTGAGTTACATGAGTTCCTTATATATTTTGGATATTAACCCCTTATCATATATATGGCTTGCAAATATTTTCTCCCATTCTACAGGGTGCCTTTTCATTTCGTTGATTCTTTCTTTACTGTGAGAAGCTTTTCAGTTTGACGTAGTCTCATTTGTTTATTTTTGCTTTTGTTGCTTGTGGAGGTTTGTTTTCAGTATCTTGCATTTGTGTGGTTAACTCAAACCTGGTTATCTAAAAGCTAAGGTATACCTAGAAAGTGCATAGAACAAGAAAGGGGATCTAATCCTTGAGCAAAACTGGGCTTTATCCCTCCATTCCTTTCCCTTTGAGAAGGCGAGCATTCCAGAGGGAGGTGTTCAGGAGGGCAGACTGCCAAGCCTAATGAAAAGTATTCTCTCAGTAGGGGGAGGTAGGTCCTGACTCAAAGCATAGAAGACACTGGTTTGGGATTGAGCCTGCTTTTTGGCCCCCCTTAAATACTGATGCTGCTGAGTTTGAGCCGAAAGTGGCTAAACATCCTCCAGCTATTCAAAGCTCACTACAAACTTCTTTTGATATAATAGGGACCCTCATCTGACATCTCCCAGGTCCAAAAAAATGAAAATGATGTGGCAGAAACTTGCTGTGGAAGGCTACCAACCAGAAGGGAAGATAAGAAACTCTTCGTACATCTAAAGTACGAGAACAGAGCTGGAAAGAGGCCCTTGAACAGAGCCTGTGAGACAGCAATGATGATGACAAACGTAAACGTATAAAGAGACAGAAGCTCTTTCCTTTTGAAAAGAATAAACTGAGTACTAGAAGAGTGAAAGACACTCCAAACAAGTTATAGGACAGTGACACTGGGGTGACATAAAAAAGACAAAATAAATTTGCCAATGAATCTACAATTATTTCAAAATAAAAAGTCTTAAAAAATCTATCTTTTACCTGAAGCCAACATAGTTTCCCATGACGACACACATTAGTTCCTTCTGCTGCCACACTCAGGACACTCTGCTTCTTGATGTGGAGCATCTGGTGAGAAAGGAAGAAAATAAAAACCTCCAGAGAATGAATGTTGCAATTACGACCTCACAAATGGCACAAGTGAATGGCTAGCAATAAACAAAGTGGATCATCTTTTTTAAACTTACAAAATTTGACTAATCCAAAACAGGAGTCTGCTTCACACACACACACATACACGCACAAATCACACTGAATGCTTCCGATCCTTTGTTTAGTTTTTGCAAAATTATTTCACAACTGGCAAATAAATCATTCATATCCCAAATGTTAATAAAACTTGAAAACTCAGATACCTTTTGTTACTACTGATGCTACAGGAAAAGATTTCTAGTTTTTGTGACCAGATTCCTCATGCAAAGAACAATGCCCTAACACAGGGCAATTTACTCACGTAGTGGGTGAGTCTCACAGTATCTACCGTTCAGAATGAGAGAAACCAGGACTCAACAGGCCCCTTAGTCTTGGATTCATTAGACTACTCAAAACTGAAATGGTGGTATCCTGGGAGCACAGGCTGGTCCTTTGGTTATCTCTAATCTTATCCTATTTCAAAACATTATACAATTCTAAGACCCTTAATCCATAATCCATAATCCATGAAAATATCTACATGATACAAGATTCTCCTCATTTTACAGGTAAGTAAATTACTCAAGAATAGAAGGGCACGGTGACTTACACTAGCACAATATCTTCCTTTAGAGGGCACAAAGTGTTCTACATTCTGAGTATCTTTTATCGATGATGAGAAAAAGGAGACTGAATTTCAATTCCATGCTTAATCAACAAGAAGAAGGCTGCAGAACTGGGAACGAAAGCTGTATTTCCCTACTGATAAGAATTTCCAAGTACCTCTTCAAATTTCTAGAGCAAAAGTTCTTATCTCGTCTTTTTGTTGTTGTCATGGACCTTTTAAAAAATCTGTTGATATATAAAGAATTCTTATAACTCAATTAAAAAATGGCAAAGAAATAGACATTTCCCTGAAGAAGATATAGAAATGGCCAAGAAGCACATGAAAAGATGCTCAACATTATTAGCCACCAGAGAAATGCAAATCCAAACCACAATGAGATACCACTAGAATGGGTATAATCAAAATGGCAGAGAACAAGTGTTGGCAAGACTGTGCAGAAATTGGAACTCTCATATTCTGTTGGTGGGAATGTAAAATGGTGCAGCAGCTTTGGAAAATAATATGGCCAATCCTCAAAAAGTTAAACCTAGAGTTACTACAGGACACAGCAATTCCACTCCTAGGTATCTATACAGGAGAAATCAAAACATATGTCCACACAAAAACCTGTGCATGAATGTTCATAGCAGCATTATTCATAACAACCAAAAAGTAGAAACAGCTCAAATGTCCATCAAATGGTGAAAGGATAAATGAAATGTGGTTTTATCCATACAAAAGAATATTATTTGGCAATAAGAATAAGTGAAATACTGATACATGCTATAACATAGATAAATCTTGAAAATATTACGCTAAGCAGAAGAATTCAGCCACAAATGACCATGTATTGTATGATCCTATTTACATGAAAGGTCCTAAACAAGAAAATCCAAAGAGGTAGAAAATAGATGAGTGGTTGCCAGGGTCTGGGGATTTGGGGAGGGGTTAGAGATAAGAGCTAAGGAATAAGGGGTTTCTTTTTGGGGTAACGACAATGTTCTAAAATTCATTGTTGTGATGGCTGTACAACTCAGTGAATATGCTAAAAGCCAGTGAACTGTACATTTTAAATTGGTGAATTTTATGGCATGTGAATTATATTTCAATAAAGCTGTTAAAAAAAAAAGAAAAGAAGAATCTGTTGAAAGCTAACTCTCCCTTAGAAAATGCACCTGTGCATATGGAAGCACAAGCTTGCACCTACACAGAAAGCTTAAGAACTCTCCTGAAGCCCATCTGTGAACCGTACCCTAGGCTAAATAATTAGTTACTGTGACATCTCAAATTAATAAATGATTATAGAAAAATTGCCTAAATAAATCATCTAGAATGGTCTTTTCAAAATATAAGCAAAAAATTTTCTGACTCTCCTCTAAAACTGCCAACGGCTCTCCATTTCACTCAGGTCAAACTCAAAATCCTTACGATGTCTGAAAAGCCCTACCTGATCTGCCTCCTGCTCCTTTCCATTTCCTATCACTCTTCTTCACTGTGGTCCTGCCACACTGACCTCCCTGCTGTTCAAGTGTGCTTTAGCCTCAGGGCCTTTGTACTTGCTAATTACTCCTCCATTAAATTCTTTTTTTTTTTTTTTTTTTTTTTGCTGAGTAAGATTCACCCTGAGCTGACATCTGTGCCAGTCTACCTCTATTTTATATGTGGGTTGCCGCCACAGCATAGCTGATGAGTGATGTAGGTCTGTGCCTGGGATCTAAACCTGTGAACTCGGGCTGCCTAAGCAGAGCATGCCAAACTTAACCACTACACCACAGGGCTGGCCCCTTAAGTTCTCTACCTAGATATCCACATGGCAGCTCCATTACTTCTTTCAGGTCTCTGTTCCAATGTCACCTCTTTTGTCCACCCTATATAAAATAGTAACTCCCTGTCTCTCTATTCACCATACCACACTTTATTTTTCTTCATAGCACTTATCACCATGATATACAATTATTTGTTTATTTTCTTGCATTAAAATGTAAGCTCCTTGAGGGCTGGAACTTTGTCTTGATTATTGTTTTACCCCAGACCTCAGAACAATGTCTGGCATATAGCAGGCACTCACGTATTTTGTTGAATTATTAGAGAAAATATCAACGATCTTATAATAAAGAGAGAAATTTATGAGACACAGACGTGACACCCATATACAGACGATACTGGGAATGACTGAGGGCGATACTCACGGCAGCACCAAACTTCCGCTGGAACTGATCGATGACGTTGTATGTCACCTCCTCTTCTTCTACAGGAGAATGATGGCATTAGATATATTTCTGTTCCTTGGTAATAGGATAGCCCTCCCACTAATTTTAGTCGTACTCATAAACTCCTACTCTATTGCAACTCAAATGTCTAATGTTATTTCATTATCACCTGCGTCGGCCCATCATACAGTGAACACTATTAGCATCCTGTTTGTCAACTGAAAAATCAACAAAAGCCCCACCAATGATAATCTTATGAACTGGACTATTTAGTCACTTTCTGTGATAATCCAGTAATGTTTCCTTCCTCATAGGTTTATGTCTTGAATACTTTAAGACATGCACTTCTTAAAAGCATGTTCATAATAAAAAATAACAACTTAAAATAAGTTAGTCCTGGATATGGGCCAATGCCAACATTTTTGGAATTCTCTGGGTCCTGACAGTTAATCATTTTTTCAATGATGTGATTTAAAAGATTAGACGTATAGCATAACACATAGTTCTTCTTCATCTCCCAACCGCTAAAACTTTGGAGTGGCACAGGACACAGCCCCTGTACCTCTTTCTTTCTTCTACCCATCCTCACTCTCTTGGTGATCTGATCTAGTCTCAAGCCTTTAAATATCATCTATAGGCTAACTCTCGAATTTATATCTCAATTTCAGACCTTTCTCCTCATCTCTCGGCTTATATTCAAACTTACGTTGACCAAAATTAAACTCCTAATCATCTCCCCAAAACCTTTTCCACCCATAGTCTTTCCCATGTTAGTTTAACAGCAGCTCCATACTTAAAGCTGCTCAAGCTCAAACTCCTAAAGCCATCCTTGATTCCTCTCTTTCTCTAATACCCACATCCAATCTATCAGCATATCGTGTCGGCTCCACCTCAACATACATCCAGAATTCCACCACTTCTTACCAACCACACTGCCACTACTAGGGTCCAAGCCACCATACCCACTTATCTTAAAATTATTTCAATAGCCTCCTAACTGGTAGTCATGCTTTTACCTTTGCCCTTCTTTCAGTATCTATACAGCATCCAGAGTGATTTTGTTAAAACAGAAGTCAGATCATGTTACTCTTCTACTCAAAACTCTCCAACGGGAAATAAATTTTTTAAAAAATACCATTTATAATAGTATAAAATATGATATACTTAGGGATAAGTATAGCAAAAGATTTGTGAGGCTTATCCACTGAGAACTATAAAACATTGCGGAGAAATTAAAGATCTAAAATAAATAGATATCCTGGGTTAATGGATTGCAGAATATTCCAACTGGCATATTGGTTAAGGCCAATATTTCCCAAACTGGTCTATCAATTCAATGCAATCCCAATAAAAATTCCAGCAGGCTTTTTGGGTAGAAATTGACAAGTTGATTCTAAAATTCACAGGAAAATGCAAAGAACACAGAATGGCCAAAACAGCTTTGAAAAAGAACAATGTTGGAGAACTAACACTACCTGACTTCAAGGTCTATCATAAATCAAGAGTAAAGAAAACAGTCTAGCATTGGTGTAAACAGAAAAATAGATCAATGTAACAGAATAGAATGTCCAGAAACAAACCTACACATATATGGACAACTGATTTTTGACAAAAGTGCAAAGGCAACTGAGTGGAGAAAATATAGTTTTTTAAATAAATGATGCTGAAACAATTGGATATCCATGTGCAAAAAAAAAAAAAAAAAAAAAAAAGAACCTTGATCCATAGCTCATATCATATACAAAAATTAACTAAAAATGGATCATAGACCTAAACGTAAAACCTAAAACTATGAAATGTCTAGAAGAAAACATAGGAGAAAATCTTTGTTACTTTGAGTTAGGAAAAACTTTCTTAGATATGACATCAAAAGCATAATCCATAAAAGAAAAAAAATGGATAAATTGTACTTTGTCAACATTTAAAATGTCTGCTCTTTGAGAGAGACTTTAAGAGAATGAAAAGACAAATCACAGACTTGGAGAAAATATTTGCAAAGCATGTACCTGAGAAAGGACTTGTATCCAGAACACATAAAGAACTCTCACCACAGAATAGTAAGAAAACAAATAAGAAAATGAGCAAAAAATGTGAACAGATATTTCACCAAAGATATTCAGAGAGTAAATAAGTACATGAAAAGATTCTCAACATCCTTCATGATTAGGAAAATGATACAACCAAAAAATCCTCCAATAGCTTCTCTTTTCACTTCGGTGTAGAAGCTAAAACCCCTTCAATGATCTACAAAGTCCTCCGTGATCCACTCACCCCACCTCATGTCCTACTACTTCTCTCCTTGCTCCAGCTACACTGATCTCCTTCCTGCTCCTTCAAGATCCTGGTGTGTTCCTATCGCAGGGCCTTTGTACTTCTTCTTTTTTCTGCCTAAAAAACATTTTCCTTGTATATCCCTACAGCTCAATCCCTCACCTCCATCAGCCTTTACTCAAATGTCACCATTTCAGCGAGGCTTGTCCAGAACACACTAAAATAGTAAAACCACCCTCTCCACACACTTCTTGTCTTTCTTCTCTTTTTTTCGCCTTAGCATTTGTCATTAGCATACTATATATTATACTCATTTATCTTATTTAGTGTCTGTTTCCTGCACCAGAGCTCAATGAAGGCAGGGATACCACACTTCGGTATCCCAAATGTTTGGCATATAGTGTGCACTCAAATATTAAATAAACAAATGAATCACGATATTTTATCTTAATTCAGAGTCTTGAAGCAATGGCGCAGCTGTGCATTCCATATAGAACTTTGACTCAGGGTTACACCAACTCTGAAGAGTTCTGAACCACAATAAAGAGAGCCCGGAAAATACAGAGCCCTGGTACTCACCTGACAGGCTGTACTTGAGGCCATTCAGCAGAGAGGTGCTCGGTGCCTCAGGGGCAGGAGAAGGAGGCTCACATGCATTTAGGTCTTCATCTTTCATTTTATCTGTCTTGGTTCTTTCTGTATTTAGACTATGCTTACAGAAAACAACACTCAGGTGAACTTGTTTTTTGTTGCTGATGCCATACACAGATTGTGCGACACATCAATGGTAAGGACTCTGGACCCCCATTTCATAGAGGACCCATTCATCCACTGTTACTTTGATTTGAAGATACCATCTAAAGATGGAAGAAAACATCCATCTATTTCTTCTCATTTCTATTACCTCAGGCCATTTTAGGAATTACACAGCTAGTGAACTGGAGTTAAGGCTTTCTACCCTAACATGTACACTTGGGTAACATCATAGCTAAGAAAATTATTCCATCATACCTAACAGAAGATGCCTTTTCTCTCACTGCACCTTGTTCCACTTCATCCAGTAGTTCCACTGTAAAATAACCAAATGATGTCCAACAGAGTTCCCCATCTGAAAGCAGTTAACCACCCCCGTCTCCTCCAACTTACAGTCTGACCACGTACCACAAACAGTAATTGGAAATGAAATGTTAGTCCATAGAGGCCTTCAGTGGCCAGCAATAAATATAGCAGAAAAGACTATCCAATGTACTGAAGACTCCTAATATTAGGTCCCCATGAAGCTGCCTTGGTCATTTAGCAGGATTAGGAACCTCTCTACATGTTCCTTTTACCCTTTTGGTTCCAGGGCACCTTTGTGGTCACGCAGATTGGTCCTAGAGATATCTTTTCTTTCCTCTTCATTCCCATCCTAAGGCACTTTCCCTCACACAGTGTACTGTTTGGGGGTTTTCTCTTAAATCGTTCACAGATTTGTCCCTTTCACTCTCACAGGCTGGTGCATTAATAGTTCAGTGACATGAAAGGTAATAAAAGCTAGGCTGAAAATCACAAAAGAAATATGAGAGAAACATTACACAGAGATTCTGAAGCCATTTATTTTTAACCTAACAGTGCGGAGAACGTAGGGAAATACTGTATACCACTGAGTCTAAGATGCACATTTTAAACAGCTCTGAAATTGAATATGATTTACAGCACATGACAGTTTATTGGCAGGTTCTTTTTCTTTCTTAGGGTCGGAAAAGTAATAGTCCACCCTATAATTAATGGCATCTTAGATCCAATTAAGTACACATAGGCACTTTTCAGGGAAAAAGCCTCTCAGCGGCCACTGTGTTTCAAATGTCTCTTTCCCCTGCACTATCTACAAGTGTTGAGTCTGGGACAAAGTGAAATTCACTAAAAACACTGATTAGTCAATTATTATCCTTCATCTTGATAATTCTTATTCAAAGTGCTTTCCAGGGAGACCCCTGCCTGGCTGACTGAGTCACAGCCATCCTTTGAGCTTAAAAATTATGAACAAAGGCCAAGTCCTGAGAAAGAATTAGGAGGAGACGAAATCCATGTATACAGGTCACAAAGCTGGGCAGTGGTCAGCCTTCTCCCGAGTAGGGACATGGTCGCAGTGATTCCTTCCCTTTTATTTATAAACCCATCCATAGCCTGGCTTTGTCCCAGTCTGGAGCTCCGCTCCACTGCAAAGGTTAATAGTTAAAACATAATCAAGAATCCCACTACCAAAGCCACCATCGCCACCATTATAAAAAGGTGTTCAAGGGACAAAGAGTATTGACAGTAGTGTACTCAGTGAGAAAAGACAGTTAGATAGCTGGTTGGACTTGTCTGCTTTGAAGTAGGTCTGGATTGGCAGTCATTAATTTGGTGAGATTTTCATTGCTCCCTAAATTCCACTTCTCTCACTAAACAAAGTAATCTTTCAAGCAGCAGTAACCTCTCATTTACAGGAGTCCTCGCCTCTCCTCACGTCTACCCCAATGGTAAGAAATGCCCAGCTCTGTGAGGTCCCAGATCTCCCATTCCTCTACCCCCTCCATTCCGCACTGATCGACTCCTTCCCTGGAGAGCTCTCTGCTTTTGAGCTCTTGAAAGCAAGAACAGTTCTTACTCCCAACCCTTTTCTCTCATCCCATTTGGTTTGTCTGAAGCACAATGACCAGATGAGCTTCTATATCTACTCTTTTAGGCAAAAAATTGGACCTAGTTTCGCCAAATGACTTTTGCTGGCAGAAATAACGAACAGGGCTGGTTCCTGGAATTCCAAAATCAGAAAAGCTCTGAAAACCAAAAATTTTTTGTAACTCTCTTGGCAGCAAAACCTGAACCGACATACTATTTAGAGTCCTATTTTATTCCACTTAGCATGATTATCCTCTCACTTCTCTGTAGAAATGTGTTTTATTACAGAGTGCTGCCCAGACCTGCTTGAGGTGTTATGCAATATGAACAGTATATACCCTGTGTTAGGCTTTCCAAAAATCTGGAACAATTCTTTATTCTGAAACATTTGGCCCCAAGGTTTCAGATAAGGGTCTGTGAATGTAACGTGAACCTGTAGTGTTCGACTCGTTTGCTGAGCAAGACAATTCCTTTCTGATGAGATTCCTAACTCTGCCTGCTGGCTGAGTCTCTAGTAATGAGCACCAGCAGCCCTCACAGTGTAAAACCAAGATGATCAAAATTCTCTAAGACTATTCTGTTCATGGTACCACCGAAATAGTAAGATAAGGGTCAATTCTCAAATACCAACCTTAAGAATTCATAAATGCAATATTAAAGGCAAGATGTCTCATTTTTGTTTTTTCAAATAATGGAACAGGGCAGAGCACTGAGTTCACTACTTCTGCAAACCCCAACACCAGCATTTAGGGAACAGGAAGTTCTCACCATTTACAATCTCATGCCCAAAAAACATCTTCACGCCTGGGACACTTCGACCAGTCTCCACATTCTTCACTGTTATAGAAAACAATTCATTTGGTTAATAAAAAATAATATTCCCTAAAACTGTAAGAAAATATGATATCTCTCAAAAGTGCTCAAATCCAAGTTTTATAAAAATCCCCAAATTATTTTCCCCAAGGGGTGAAGATGATAAATTACAAAGCTATAGTCTTGAAATAGGTAGTATAAAGAACAGAGGGAACCCCAGAAGGGTCCAAGAGAAACTAAAAGGGCAGTAGTAGTACACTGAATTTAAATTTCCCCCAAAAATATTCTAAGGCCCTTGGGGCTACGGACTATCTATTTATTACATGTCTTGATCTTCACTCCACTGAACTCCAGAAAAAATTTAAGGCACCTGACTACTTCTAGAGTCCACACTCTGTTTCACGTTATGCTTTTTTAAAAAAAATTAGTGCCATGGAGTCGATTCCCACTCCTAGACACCCTGTGTACAGCAGAGCAGAACCCTGCCCTGTCTTTTTTGGCCATCCTCTCACTTTCTGGCACTATATCCAATGCTCCACTGCTATTCATAGGGTTTTCAGGGCCAATTTTTCCGGAAGTGGGTAGCCAGGTCCTTCCCAGCCTATCTTAGTCTGGAAGCTCTGCTGAAAACTGTCTACCATGGGTGACCCTCCTGGTATTTGAAATACCAGTGGCAGAACTTTCAGCATCACAACAACAGGGAGCCACCACAGTATCACAACCAAAAGATGGGTGGTGTGGTTCCCTGACCAGAAAATGAACCCAGGCTACAGAAGTGAGAGCTCCAAATCTTAACCACTAGATCACCATGTCATGCTTCCTGCTGGAAAATATTAATTGTCAGGGAAAACAATCCAACTCCTGGCCCAAATACATGGCTCCTCTGTGAGTAGGTAAGAAGTTTGGATGTCATGCCTACAATATGGTATCATTTTTCTACCTGGAAGTGCTCACAGTGGCTGTATATTTCCATATCTCTTGGCAAACCCAAATAACTGAGTTCAACCCTCACTGTTTCACTGAATATCTTCTTACTGAGGTCAAAGATCACCAACTGCCTATGTGTCAAATCCAAAAAAAAGCTCACAGTCTTATCATACTTGGCTCCCATGCATGCTTTGACAATACTGTTCTCTCCTTTCTTCTTTGGCTTACAGGACACTCTTCGTGTTTAGTTCTTTTCATGCTAATTACCTAGAGCTACCATACTGAGCACCTGCTGTGAGCCAGGCACCGTGCTAATTATTTGCCTACATTTAATTCTCCAGTAACATAATGCCTATCTCCATTAATGAGGAATCTGAGGCTCAGAAAGGCTGAAGATCACACCACTAATAAAAGACAGAGTTAGGATTTAAGCCCAGGCCTCAGTGATCTTAACACACATCTAGTAACCAGAGTTACACTGTCCCTGATTTTCTCCTTCCAATCTCCTTAGCTACCTATACCACCTCTGCTTGCCCCTTACACCTTAATTGGCCCCAGGATCATGTTCTTCATCCTTTTTCCTTCTCCTTGAATGATCACATCTACTTCCTAGTTGTCCTGACATCCATTATTTCTCCAGAATGGATTATTTCTCTAAGCTCCACTCTCACTTTCAACTTACTAATAGCTGACTTTCTGTAAGATTTGCAAACTGAGATCATTATCTTCTCCCAGTGTCTAACCAATCTGCTCCTCTTCCCATTTCTATCAGTTAATAACAGCACTATACGCCTAATTTGAGTCATAAATGTGGGAACTACTTTCCATTGTCTTTGAGGATCTAATTGATTACTAGGTTGCTTATCCCATCTCCTAAGCATTTCTAGAATCCATCTTCTCATCTCCATTCCTTGCCGAGCCTTAACTCCGACCCCATCATTTCCCTTTGTCAGGTCCCTTGATTGTCTGAATAGTTCCCTGTCTATTCTCCTTGCCTGAGTTTCTCCCTCCTTCAATCCTTCCTTCACACTGCTGTCATAGTGACATCACTCCCTGCTTCATCCAGATGGCACATGAAACTAAGAAACAAGTGTAAAGAAATATGTTCAACCTCTTTAGGAGTATTTTCTAAACGTGCAAAAATGAAATATCACTTTTTGCCTATAAAACTAGCAAAAATTAAGGGAAGACATATATTAGCATTTAAAAAAAAATCCAGTGCTAGATTATTTACTGTAATTCACACACACATTACTAGTAACAAGAGTAAAAAGGCACAATCCTTTTGAAAAACTATTTGGAAATACTCATCAAAAACATTTAAAATAGGGGCCAGCCCAGTGGCATAGTGGTTAAGTTTGTGAGCTCTGCTTCAGTGGCCTGGGGATTGCCAGTTCAGATCCTAGGCACAGACCTACACACTGCTTATCAAGCAATGCTGTGGCAGGCATCCCACATATAAAATAGAGGAAAATTGGCACAGATGTTAGCTCAGGGCCAATCTTCCTCGAGCAAAAAGAGGAGGATTGGTGGCAGATCTTAGCTCAGGGCTAATCTTCACCAAAAAAATAAATAAATAAAAAATTTAAAATATTCCTAACTTTCACCAGTAATTTCACTTCTAGGAATTATTCCTAAGAAAATAATAATAAGATATAAGAAATATTAAATTTTATAATTATAATTTATAATCATAAATATATTAATATAAAACTGCATTTTATAATTATAACTTATTATAATGATATAGTGTTATTTATAATTATAAAATAAAACAAATATTTTAAAAGTTTTTAAGTTTTTTGCTTTAAAATGTTTAGCCACTAAATTGAAGTTTTAAATAACATGAGAAAATGCTTGTTACAGTCTTAACTAAAAAAAAATTGTATATGTGATATACCTGACAATATGTCAACCATATAAAATCTGTGCAATTAAAGACTAGAGAGAAATATACTAAAATACTTCACTGGACTGAATGTTTCGTTAAACAAGCACGTGTAATTTACTGATTGTTGTCTACTCAATGCCTTTTATTCAGGCTATCATTGTGCTCAGTTTTCCCATGGTCAGTGGTGGTCTACTGGATTTCTAGGGCATCTCTTTAAGGGGACTGACTCAGCTGAGGGGAACACCCTTCCTCCCCTCTGTAACTCTACCAGCTATCGTATGACCTTGAGGTTTGAAGGCAGGTGCTAAAGATGGTAGAGCAGAAAGATGAGAATCCATCTCTTGGATTCTCTTGGAGAGATCCAAGAATCTTGGATCCCGACAAGCTTTGGGGAGAGTCACAGTAGCCCTGAGATGCCTGCCTTCTTTTATACGAGAGAACAAACTCCTAAATTGTTTAAGCCACTGGAAGTGAATCTGTTTCTAGCAGCTGAGCATGGTTCTTAACTGACATGACATTAAAAATTTCAGGCAACTATCCTAAAAGCTTCTATGCCTCCCACTTAGAAAATCTTTCAGATTGTTCCTCATTGCTTTCAGTAGTGTCCAAATGCTATGTTATATAAGCTCCTTCTGATTTGTCCCATGCTTACTTCTCCAGTCTTCTCTCTCACCGTAGCCTCATACTGAAATTTACTTAGGTTTTCTAAATGCACCAAGTTTTTATGTCTCTATATTTTTGTACATGCTGCTACTTCTGTTTAAAATAATAAACCTCTCAAAGTGTGCTTCCCCAGCACAGTATCAGCATCACCTGGAAACTTGTTAGAAATGCAAATTCTTGGGCTCCACCCCAGACCTTAAGCATCAGAAACTTGTGGATGGGGGCCCAGCAATGTGTGTTTCAACAAGTCTTCCAGGTGATTCTGATGCACAGATAAAGTTTGAGAACCAGTGGCTTAAAACCACCTTTCCCTCTTTTCCCATCCAGTTAACACTTACTTACCCCATGAAGTCGCACCATCAATTCCTCCTTTGGGAAGCCTTCCCCACTGTCCTAACCCTACCACTCCCACATCTAAACTAGCTGAACCTTTGTGTTTCCACAGCATCTTGTGCGTTCCTCCATCAGAGAGGATATCACACTGTATTATATCTTTCTACTCACTTTTCTGTCTGCTTATTAGATTAAGTTTTTTTAAGGACAAGGACCATGTTATTCTTATCTATGTCTCCGGTACGAAGCATAGTGCCTGGAATATAAAACTATCAATGATTACTGAATGAATTAATATTGCAAAAGCCTGGTATAGTCCCATCCTAGCCCATAGAAGTCTATTTTAACTCATAATGTGGCTTAACAAAAATACTAATCTCTCAAATGCCATTTATACATGTTTCAATCGTGAACTTGAAACTTATCATGCCAGGAAACAACTACCGCAGCAAGTTAATATTCTAGCTGAATAAAAAACTATATATTGGCGTTTCAAGGTGAACACATAGAGGAGCTAGGAGGTAACATGCCCACAGAGGACATGGAAACTCCAAGCTCCTTCTCACATACTTTGCCCTATGTATCTCTTCCATTTGGCTCTTCCTGAGTTGTATCCTTTATAAAAAATTGGAATTGAAGCTGGAGGTGTAGAGGCTACCTTGCGACCATGAGGATACCAGATGATCACTGAGGTGGGAGAGCAGGAGCACAAGACATCTGGTCCCTCCTGGCATCTTTGAGCCACTGCACTATTCCTCAGTAGCCTACCTCTGGACTTCTTTTTGCATGAGAGTAATTAACCCCTTACTGACTTTGTGAATTTGTCATTGAAGCCAAAAGCAATTCTATCTAATAGAGTGGTTATTTTTTATTGCAAAGTGCATAAGGAGAGAAATTAAAAGAAGTAGTCAATTAAAAAAAACTATGCTGAAAATTTCCACTATCACATCAATAAAAGTATAGAAGTGGGGACAAGCCAGCATATGGAGCCCCATTGTTCTGTTAGAGAAAATACCATTCTAATCTTCTTTTCACCCCTAAAATAGGAATAATGTGTCCCTCCCAGTTGCTAATGGAGTCCAGAGCCATCACCTAAACTCAGTTATTAATCTCTTAAGAGGCGGACGATTATGAAAAATAAAATAAGACCTTTCTTCAGGACAACAATCTTGTTAGGGTCGACATGCTGGAGCACTCCCTCAAAGATGCCACAAACCAACGTGAGTTTCACCCTTCTCCACAAAATCTGATTGAGGAAATGGTAGTCACTGCTGGGATCCATGCTTTTTGATTCCAAAAGCAGTCTTCAAATAATCTTTAAGCATCCAAACACTTGAAAATAAAAGAGATCTATGATTTTTAAACTATTTTTTAGGAAACAAGGTTATTTCCCCTTTCTTCATACCTGCAAGGGATAAGAAAAATAAAAATATGAGAGTGATTCAGATTTGTTCATCTTTGTAGAATAATAATGGAAAAAGGATCCTTGCAAGCACCAACTCTCATTTATACACAGGAAACTGAAAACTATAAGACTGCAGGCAAGGTAGGCTTGGCTTCTCTGTCTATAAAATGGTGTAATACCACCTGTCCTTGTTTAGCTAAATGGAACAAGCAGAACATTTAGATGCTTTCTAATGGCACATACATATATCTTCTTAATACCAACCAAAAAATTAAAAGAATAAAAAAACTGACATTGGCAAAACACTTGCCAAGACAAGCTGCCATAAACCATTTACCCAGAAATGCCTGGAATCTAACCTCTTCTGGATCTAGCCTCTTCTAGATTAGAAACATTTCCAGTTTGACATTGTTACGAACCAAAGCGTAAGTGACTTAGAACTATCACAATTTATGCATTTCCAATCCAGCTGCCATGTCACTGCAAGGGCTATTCCACCCCACCCTGGTCACAGCTTACGGACTGGACTGCTGTACTGTCACCCAACCAGTCACGTGCAGCCTGACACATTAAACTGCCACATGCCATACATTGGTTTTGTAAAATTCAACTGTCTTTGTAAAAATGATGCATGGTCATAAAGTATAACAATGCAGAAATGTACACAAAAAACTTTACCTTGCAGAAATAACTATCATTCATAATAGATACTTTTATATTCTTTAGTGTAATACTGTAATTTAAAAGATGAATCCTTTTTTAAAAGTATCTTTTAGAACAATCCTGTTATTTGGACGTCCTTGTATTTAGAACCCCAGATAAACATTCCTCTACAGTAGTTTAAATTTAAAAGCTGCTTGCCTTTGCCACACTAGGAACAGTCAACTAGTGAATTTTGCAATTTACTTTAACTATAAAACAGTGATGAGGGGCCGGCCCCATGGCCGAGTGGTTAAGCTCGCACACTCTGCTTCAGTGGTCCAGGGTTTCGCCAGTTCGAATCCTGGGCGTGGACATGGCATCCCACATGCCACAACTAGAAGGACCCAACTAAAAATACACAACTATGTACTGGGGGGTTTTGGGAGAAAAAGGAAAAATAAAATCTTTAAGAAAAAAAAAAAGAAACAATGAAATAACTAAGGCCTCATTCAACTAGGAAGGTGAGAAGTTACATAGCATTTTTAGCCAGATATATAACCTATATTTTTCTATTTTAAGGTCTAGAAAGTATTATCACAAATATTATTTGTTGCCTACAACAACCATTACCTAATTTACAGATGTAGAAATTGAGGCCTAAAGATTTAAGACAACTGCCCAAAGTCAAACAGCTAGAAGGTAGGGAACCTGACCCAAAACCAGGTCCCTAGCAGAGGATGTGTGTAATCTAGCACAAGACCAAGGCTTACGCATCCAGAAAGAACATAAAACAAGTCACCAGAGTGCCTGAGAAAATCATTCTTCTTTGTTCAAGTCAACCCAACAGGCAAAAGGGGAATTTTTACAGAAACAAAAGAGGACATAAAACTGGAAAAAACAGCCCTTAATAGAGGCACAATTTATATTTTTAAAAGATACATAAGAAATAAAAATTTGTGAAACGCTTGAACCATAAGGACACTTAAGAAATCTTAAGTAAATCAGAAAAACGTTAACACAAAGCAAAGAAAGCTTTGACTGAGGACAGCTGCAAATGGTAAGACGCAAGATTAGTAAGAAAAAAGGATCTAGAAACCGTCTTAAGGTAGTCTCAGAAAAGGGTCATTCATGTCGCTGACATCAAGGTATTTCTATCATACCTATACCGGCAAGATAAAAAGAAGCTTCTGTGGGTTCTAGACGTGACATATCCAAAATGTCACACTCTGCACGTGAAGGCACACATCACTAGGTCAGACAAGAGCAGATCAAACATGAAAACAGCTCAGTGCGGCTAGAATTTAGGCCTCATGCTAAGGCGTCAAAGCCTTAGGTAAAGCTTAAAACCAGTAACCTCAGTTGACTTGGGCAGCTGGCTAAGACAGCGTCCCATACCGTTCAGGTACTAGGCAGTAGTGGTCAGAAGTTGCTTCTTCCCTATCTCAGACCGGCTCTGTACAATGCATCCCTCCAGGCAGGGGTGGGGAGGCGGTGTAAAGGCATTGAAGCCCCAGGAAAAGAACTGGATCACCTGAGAGGGTGCACTAATCTAAGGGGTGGCTTTAAACGTTTTCAAGAAAACAAACAAAAATATGCCATAAGAACAAAATGCAAAATTCCTCATTTTTAAGGCAAAATAAGAAACTTCAAATAAAGGGCGGGCCATACATTAAGAATTCACTGTCCTCCGCCTTTAGGGTTTTTTGTTTTGTTTTGTTTTCCGAAGGCAGTTTGAGAAGTCCTGTCCCAATTTCGGGCAAATGGTGAGTTCCTCGAGCTTCAGTCTTGAACTAAAAAAAAGGAGAGACTTCTGTTAAGGAAGAACTCTCGGGGAGTTCTAAAGCCGCGGTGACGGTTATCAAGCGACAGCCCCAAAACCCAACTGGAGAAAAGCACGCAACGCTGGGAACCCACACCGCAGACCAGACGCCAGCGCGGCTGAACGAGGAGTCCCCCGAGGAGCCAATCGGCGCGCTGCACCGAGGCCGGCTCCCGAGCGCCCCCTGCGGCCGGGAGGAGAGAGGGCCTCCAGGAAAAATGAGGAGCTGCAACTCCCAGCATGCAGTTCCCAGGAGACACACCCTGCTGTTCCCCGGAGCGACGTTTTGTCTGTTTTTATTGTTTCTCTCCGCAAACCATACCCCTTGTAGGATGGGATGTATAGTGTGAGAGTTCTGTGAGAAACGGGTTGGCTACGCTGCCTGCCGCAGGTTAGTTTGTTGTAAAGCGGCGCGTCGATGGCGTTGCCCTTTTAATTGCGGTCGCTAGGGCCAGCGTGGCATTGCCCTTTTAAGGCCGGTGGCACCACGGTTCCGGGGGCGTGGCCCGCCTTTGGCGAGGCCCGGCTCGGCGCCGGGCTGATTCATTCCGGGGCTGGAGCCGGGATCATCAACGTCGCCTCCTGCGCCGGGCGCAGCCTCGCTCCTCATTGGCCGGTCCTCGGGGCCGCCCTCCTCCGCGCGCCACCCCTGGGTTCCCTCCCCGGTCTGCAGTGGAAACGCTGCCGTCTCCCTTCTTGACCCCTGGCCCATCCTCCCCTCACACCCTCCCTCCCTTTCGCCACCGCCGTCGCGTCTGGCGCCCCGGCTCTCGGAGGGGCTCCCGGCTCGGTGATGGGGTCTCGGGCCTCCACGTTACTGCGGGACGAAGAGCTGGAGGAGATCAAGAAGGAGACTGGCTGTGAGTTCGGGTCAGGGGTGGGAACGCGGCCGGGCGCCTCCGGCTGGCCTCAGGACCGAGGGCGACTGTCGCTGAGGTCTGGAGGTGGGGTGCTCGGAGGTTGCGGAGTCCTGGGCAGCCTCCAGCGCTGGAGCTTCGGGGCCGAGGGCTGGAGGACCTGTTCTTCCAGCTGTAGCTACCCGGAGCGGGGCACTGGCTCTTGTGGCACTGTCCTTCCTCTCAAAGGCGGGAGTCGCGATCACCCGTAGAGCCCAGACACCTCTCTTTTCTTCTCCCCCTACTCGTGAAAGTCCCCGAACGCCTTTCCTTTATCTTTCCTCGCACCAACCTCAAATTCAGGAACTCTGGATGGATCCTGTAGAAAACAGTCCGTTCCTGTGACGTTTCTGGGAAAGGACTTAAAACCGCTGACAGCTGTGGGAAATCACAAACAAATCCTTGCCACAACTGGAAAAATAAACCCAGAAAGCAAGATCGTGTAGTAAGGCTTTGGAAGACTAACCTGGTGATGGGGTACCTTTAAAAAATTAGGAGTTGGAGAGTAGGAGACTAATTTCATTCTGAACTTGGGGAGAAAAAGCACGGATACTGTGACCACCAGTTTTTTCCTTACACTGAGGATGCTTCCTGTCCTAATTTCAGATATATTGATTTTTATTATGCTGGTGTATTTTATGCAGTCTCTGTGGAAATTGGGTGTGCTCCAAAAATCTGTGTGAATTTGTACTAGGAACTGATTTTTTATGGTTATTTCTCTTCCTTATTAACCTGAACAAAAGGGTAACAGGGCTTTGGGAATTCGGAAGCTCTGTAAAACTCCATCACACATTTGTTTAGCCCTTGATAACACATACAATGTTTTCTCAGAAATCCTTTATGACTCATGTGTTGTATATGAGTTATTTAAACATCTGAGCTCTTATCTCTTTATGGTACCTGTCTTTGAGAATGAGGTGACCCGTAAGTAACTCCGTGGCCCGTATGCAGATGATATGGAAGGATGCTGGAGGAACTACAGAATTACTCAGGCCGCTGTGGCCTGAGGTGAATTAAATGCTGCTCTATGCTTTCTGAAAAATTTAATTTTCTAGAATCGTCAAGTTGGAAGGATCTTATCCAGCCCACCCCTTGTCAGGTTGGTTTAATGCTTTCAGCATCCCCTAACATATGGCCCTTACATCTCTCCGTAAAGACCTTTAACCATGATGAGCTCACTACCTACAAATGCAATCCTTTTTGTGATTTTGGGTGAATGACAGAAAATAGTTAGCTGTTTACAATGTGCAGTACTTGTTTGGCCACTTGACCTTATGGTCGTTTAATGACTTAATCTGACTCCAAGAGGAGAAATATAGGCGCTTTGGATTCAGCAAGCATTTTATTCCATTTTGTGTCGATGACCTCTGGCCACGCTTGTAATATAAGAACCACTTTAGGTCTAAAGTGACACCAGAATTAAAGCATTTGTGCTTAAAATAAAAAGTCATATAAGGAGGAAGTGTAAACCATAGTGAGGATAGGAAAAAGCTATTTTTGCCTCAGTATGAAGGGAACAGTAATCCCATTCTGGTTTATTTTCATTAGGCCAAATGAAAGGTCCTGGATTGCTGTAAACCTCTGGGTTATTTTACTATATGACTTGTGGACAAACAGAATTAAGTACTCCTGGAAGAGCTATTTTTCTGGTTGCCAAAAAGTGAATCAAGCCTGAGGGAGATTCTCAACCACAACCAGTGCAAACATACATATTGAGCCAGAAAGCTTAATGAAACAAGTACCTCTTGAATCTTCCAGTGTCTGTATTCAGTACTATGCTTGGTACTCAAAGCACATGGTCCCAAAAGATGCCTACAAGAGTTAGGATTAGCATCATACATTAGATAGCTGGAATTCTGTGGCACCCACCTTCAGAACTCAAGGAAGACGGAGTCCTTGTGGGCTGGCCTTGTGGAGGACAGGAATTGGGTCTTAATACATGCATGAACGGATTAGATTTGGATAAAGTAACCTAGGGCATTTTGGGTGGCTTCCAGGAGCATTCTCCCCTAGGCTGCTATGCAGTCATTCCTCTGCCTTGGGAGTTGAGCCATCACTTTATCCAGTTAGTGCCCATAAGCAGAGTTGAATTTTAAAGCAGTAATTTTAGCATGATGCAAAAGGTTTGGAAGAATAAAAACAACAGATACCTGAGGGTGGGGTAGAGAGGTGGAATTTGTCCTTGTTTTCATCTGCTTCTTGTTCCATTAAGAGTTTGGGGAACTATCAGTCAGAAACACTTCAAGTGAAGAACACTGTAAAGACATTTCATGACTCCCTTGGCCAGTAAGAAAATGTAGCATAATTGAGGAAAACTGACTTTATATTCAATATGAAAGCTCTGACTATATTTAAACTTATTTTTTGTAAGTCTAAATTGATTAGAATTCACATATGACTAGTTTAGCTGGAATTTGAAATTTAATCTCTAAATGTTTGGAAAAGTAATTCTAGGTGAGAATTAACCGTAAGCCTCAGTTTCATCATCTGTAAATGTGAATAATAATAGTACCTACTTTATAGGATTCTTATGAGGATTAAATGAGATAAATTATGTAAACTACTTAGAATAGTGCATAGTATATTATAAGTGCCAGGTACGTGTTAGCTATTATTAATTTGAACCACAGATAACAATCATCTTATTGGGAAAATACCATTTGCATTTGCTAGTTATTATAAAACCTTTGTCTAGGAGCTGGCCTGGTAGCATAGCAGTTGGGTTTATGCACTTGGCTTTGGAGGCCCCGGGCTTGGATCCCAGGCGTGGACCTAGCGCCGCTTGTGAAGCCATGCTGTGGCAGGAGTCCCACAAACAAGATAGAGGAGGATTGGCGGTGGATGCTAGCTCAGGACTAATCTTCCTGAAAAAAACACACAGCTATGTCTAGGGCTATCTAACTAGGGAGGTGACAGCATTTTATACTTTCCTGTTTTCAGGTGTCATTAGATTAGGAATCAAGTACAGATGATGTTTTCCCAATTCTAAGGAAATAAGACTTTTAAAGGAGTAAAAATTCTGATGTTTCTAACAGTTTAAAAAAAACACTGTCTAAAAACACTTTATGTTGGCATAAAACGTTTGCTGTATTGTCTTTGTTCTATTACATTCTTTCACACTTAAGTATTTCCATAAATTAAAGCTCATTTGAATAAAAGTTGTCATTAGGTGGAAGGTCATTAGTGTCTTGGGAGTTTCTGTAATCTCCACTCTTAATTCACTAAATGTAGCAATAACCTGGCTGTGAATTATTCAAAACCTTTTTTTTAAAAAATAGCCACTTAGTCTGTGAGAAACAATTCATGCCAACTGAGAAGTAATGAGTGCAGATTCATTTATTTTTAGTCTCTATCTTCTGATATGTGTCGTGTGGTATGGGGAGGGTGTTGAACAGGTTTAGGAGGTGAGTTCTACAGGCTGGTGAGGTTTTGTTTGCTTGAAAGGGTGTAATGATACTAGGAACTAGTGTGAGTTTCTCTACAGTTGCAACACAGAGCACAAGCCTGGCAAAGGCAATTGCTTGAGAATAACTTCCTGGGCTAGAACGTAAGTGGAAGTTCAACTTGAGGCTGCTACTACCTCAAAATGCAGGGCGTCTTCATGGCCCTCACCTGCCCGGCCATGGTGCCTGAAGGTTCTGTCATTACAGAAGACCCTGCTGTCTTCTGGCTCCTATTGAAATGGAAATAAACATGTAACTAATACCTTTGACTGGTTTTGGGTTAAGTGATTTGTAAGGCTTTGTACTCCCTACCCCCCAACTTATGATGAAAAATTTCAAATATACAGAAAAGTTAAAATAGTGTGATGAACATCCGTATACCTTCCACTTTAATTCAACGATTGTTAACATTTTGCTGTATTTGCTTTGTCTGTTTATATGTATTTTTTGATGAACCATTTGAAAGTTGCAGATAGTGGAACTCTTTGCCCCTAAATACTTCTGCATGTATCTCCTGGGAATAGGAATTTTTCCCACATAACCACAATGCTATTACCACACTTAAGAAAGTTGACTGTAGTTCTGTAATATCATCTACCATGCAAATTTTCCCTTGTTATAGGGAGGTAGTTTGGTTTTTTAAATGTCTTTTAAGTCTCTTTTAATCTCTAGATTCCCTAAGGGAGCAGGCCAGCTCTTAAAGTCCTCTCATCAGGAAACGGGAAATGTTGGGGTGTCGAGTGTTCAGGAGGAGTGGTTAAGGGTACAGTTTTCAACTTCTCAGTCCTTTACCTAGAGTTACCTTTGGTTGCACTTGTGTGCCTTACCTAGGTCATCAATCTCTTCTTCTGCATTAAGATCTAGGATTAAAGGCAAGGGCACAATAACTTTTTTCTTACTCCCTTTTCTTCTTTTTTTTTTAAAGATTGGCACCTGAGCTAACAACTGTTGCCAGTCTTCTTTCCCCCCTGCCCCCGCTTTTTCTCCCCCAAGCCCTCCAGTACATAGTTGTATATTTTTAGTTGTGGGTCCTTCTAGTTGTGGCATGTGTGATGCTGCCTCAACTGCCTCAACGTCGTCGTGGCCTGACGAGCAGTGCCGTGTCCTCGCCCAGGATCCGAA